AACCAACTTAAATGCAATTCAAACTTCTCATTGGAACTCAGGCTGCAACAAAAGCCAAAGTAATCACACATAATCAAATTGATTCACTATTGCACATATGATAACCAACATACCAAATTAACATATAAATTTCATTATATACTCATGAATCATTCGCGAAAATAAATATGTATATGTATACGTGTGTGTGCATATATATATACATACATACATATATATGTGATCATTGTAATATAAAATGTAAGAAAAGTTAACTATTCACCAAGATTAAAAACAAATCTCTGACATGCATTAACAAACAGCACCTAGATTTTCATATCCTCTAAAACACACACTGATATTCTAAAACAAAAGCCGGTTCCAGTGACGTATTATCTGACTGATCATGGAATACTTCTAAATTGTACTTGAGCATCAAACAATTTTTCCATGACCTCAAGAAGGCGACAAAAATGGAAATTAATAAACACATTCAGCAGATATTTCCATGGATCAAGTTAGATCCAACCAAAAATCAATATTTTCCATTAATTCCATACACTATGTTCGTAGATGAACCAATTCGAATAATCCAAATCAAAAGACAGCATAATATAACCAAAAAAAAAAAAAAAAAAAAACACATCTGCGCAGAGAACAAACAAATGATCAAGCCAAGAAATTCACCGACAGCGGAGGATACACGATAATCAGTAAAATCAGAGTTCCGCATCTGACGAGCTCTATAGATTTTCACACAACATTATATCGACATATACATAAACCTCCTAACCCCGAGCAACTACAAACAAGAAGAACATTTACAGAACTGATATGTAATTGAGAATCAAACGATTTTTAGCAAATCAAAGCTAAACGAGAAGCATTACCTGATTCTGCGAGACGCCAAGAAAACGGAGATTTGCAGGGGAGTCTCACAAATGAAGAATATGCCAAATTATCATCAATTGGCTGAGATTTATCTACTTATTATTATTATTATTTTTCTATTTTATATATTTTAATTTGGGTTTTGGATAAGGATCGGGGACGAGGATAATTTGTGGATGAAATACTTGAATTCGGTCAAATTGAAATCGTTGTTTATATTACGTTTTTGCTTTATATTATACTTCCCCAAACACACAAGCAACCTACCAACTAACAATGGGATTTTTTTCATTAGATTAATTAATGGTCACTTGGACTTTCACTTGAACCCACCTTGCTAATTGAATCATGTATGTTTATGGATGAAATTATAACTATGGGTAAACCGAGCCAGAACCGAAAAATTAAGTCGAATCGTGCAATTTGGTGCAGTTCAGTTCGTTTTTGTAATGTAAAAAAAAAAAATAGGTTCGATTACGGTGAAGTTTTTTCCTACATTGCAGTGCGATGTGGTTATAATTTTTTTATAAGTTCAATTTTTAGTTTTGTTTGGTTTGATGCGATTTTGTATCGAACCGCACCAAAGTTAGTAAAATGCATAGAAAAATCGTGATAAAATTAAAAATTGAGCCAAACAGTGCATTTCGGTGCAGTTCGGTTCTATTATTTCAATGTAAAAAATCGGCACGGTTTAGGTTCAATTTTTTAAATTGCGGCATGGTTCAGTTATCGTTTCTTATAGGTTCGGCTATTCGGTTTTTATGGTTTGGTACGGTTTTTCACGGAACCGAATTGTTGCTCCCTCCTAGTTATAACTAGAGTCAAGTTGATTTCATGTGGCTCTAACTTTAGTCCTAGGTTCTTATTTTTTGCATTTTGGCCATGTGATTTAAAATTTACACGCAATTTTGGTGCTTTTAGCGTTGGAAATTTGGTTTCTATCGTACGATCATGCACACAACCGCACATGATGTATTGTACAGCTAATTAAGGTGAGTTGGCAACCCCATTTGTGCGCATGGAAAAAAAATATTATAATTGTTGTGTACGGTTTAGTATTTTTCTGTGTCTTTATGGTCTTATTTTTAGTTTATTTGATTTCATTATAAAGTTTTTTCGGTAAGTTAAGTTGCTTGCTCGTGTAATTTCGTGTTACTTGTGAATTTTTGCGTATTGTGTCTACTTTCACACACACACACACACACATATATATGTATGTGTTTGACGTCGTTGTGTGTGTGTGTATACACACACATACACACACATATGTATATGTGTGTGTATAACACATGTATATGTGTGTTTGTAAATATATATATTTATACTCAATCAAAGAAATGACAATAAATCGTAACCATTAGATCGAATGATCTAATGACTAAAAAAAACAAAAATATATTTTCATTAAAGTTATTTTGGACATTTTTACAATTACCCCATCCACCAGCAGACCCTACTACCACCCGCCACCTACCCACCAACTATTTCAAGTCGTCACACAAACGCGTGACCAATCTCACACACCCCATTATTTTGAATTTCTAATGACAAGGAAAAAAAGAAATAATCTCACACACTTCACATCCCTCCCTCACACTGTCACACACAATCAACGTCTCTCTCTCACACACTCCCACACACTACACCGTTTCTCTCTCTCTCTCTCACACACACACACACACACACTACACCGACGACACACACAAAACACACACTACACACATACGCGTATAGACACACGGCCATAATAACCACCATCAACGCCGGACGAATTTCGATGCCGCTGCCGCCGCTCCACGAAAGTCACCGTCATACCCACTTTCACGGCGGACAAAACCACCATGGTTGCGGCAACAATATTCATCGCCAGAGCTATCGAGACAGGACTGCCACTGTCGGCGGCTCGGGGTTGAGATTAATTCACGGCCACGAAGCTCCTGGCCATTAATGGCGTCGTTGAACGGGATGGCGTTGCGTTGGGTGGCCGCCGCGTCCGACGCTGCCGCCTTCATCTTCTCTATGTGCGGCGGCGGGTCAGCAATACTGACGGGCATGGTAGATGGAGAAGAGATTTGTTGTGTTTTTGTGTGGAATTAGATAAATAGTAAGGACCTATATGCAATTTTATAAGTTTTTTGTACATTGCACTTTAAGTCTTGGGGTATGTTTACAATTTATCAAAAGTTTAATTAATAATTAGTAATGTTTGCATATGTTGGATATGAAAAAGGACCAGATAGTTTTTAATTGCTGAAGATTATTATCGATACATTTTTTTTCCTGCAAGTATTGCCAGGCGTGTCTCAATTTGAAATTGAGAAATGATGTATATATATTGCTTTTATAAAGGTCAGGAAGTTAGTTCTGCTGCATTTATGGTAGTCTATGATTTTATGGATGCAAATTAAAATAAGTCATGTATAACAATATTTGTGAGAAATGCAATTGGGGATAGCATTCAGATTTAAATAAATACAAATATATTTCCAATCGATAAATCTTTGATTTAGTTAATTGGACAAATATGTAATTTATAAATTTTTTTAATAAATACATATTAATAATAAGTAAAGAAATGCACAAATATTGTGTACATGCACATTAAAAACATATACGCTACCAGTGCACAATAGTGTAAGACGAATTGCACATTAATGTCTAACAAATAAATTTTACGATATAAAAAAATTGATAAATGCAAGAAATAATGATTATTGAAGTTTATGAATTTGAAACACATAAAAAATACTCGACCAATGATTGCACAATAATTTTAGACGAATTGCACATTATGTTCTACTCGATTGCACTTTATAGATTTTGATATCTTTTATATTATATTTTCAACTATAAATATTATAAATTATTAAATATAAATATTACAATATAAAATACATTTTATAATATACATAGTAACATAAAAATATTTTGTAATATCAATAATTTTATAATAATAAATAATAAATTATTTCAATTATTTAAGTTAATTCGATTTACAATTATATCTACTACATCTAGTTTTCAAAAACACATATTTTATATGCGTTCTTAACACATACTTTATATGTGTTCTTATAAAGTAATGCACTTTATATATCGACTCGTTGAACTTTAGAAAGCAACACATTGCACTTTATAAAATAAAACGTTGTTTTGAGCCTTTTTTTTGTGTTTCTATTACCACTGTTTCTCTTAGGTTTTATCTCTAACCTACCAAACTTGTTTGAGACTAAATAACTTTGTAGTTGAAAAAAATTCAGAGAAAATAGCGCCCTAATCGATAGCCACAGTTTTCCCAGAAAATGTAATCCCAGTTGTTACATGTCACCTCATATTGTTAATCATTATCCTCCTTATTACAGATGAAATCAAATAAGGGTAAACAAGTCAACACAAAATACAAAATTACACATTACAAACTCTTACATGTTCACATACATTTCAACTGTAAAAAATCATGTAATCCACCAAAATCAGGAATTCAATACAAACTTCTGTATTCATACATATAAGCAAATGTAAAACAATCTGTACAGTCCAATTAGATAGCACAGCAAGAGAAGATAGTCGACTACCCTTCTAAACGCTTTGGATCTCGTTCTGAGACGAGCCTTGATCTCAAACCTTGCATATAAGCTTTACTCATTCGAGTTGGTGCAAATGTTTTGGTCTAACTATACCCGTTCCAGCTTCTCCTTGGCCTGAAACAATCGCGTAGAGAAAAAAAAAACAAGGAATAAATAAGCAACACCAAACTCTCCTACAACAGTCTTCATCTATCTAATACCCTCTCATTTTTCATTCTCTCCTTTTCTTTTCTTTTGTTGTCCTCAAATATATCAGTTAGTAAACAACAGAGCTATTCTCATTTTTTTGTTCGACATAAAATATGTTTATATATTCTTTAAAGGATGTAGATGGTGTTTATACTTCCGGCTCTTCTGCTGTTGGCGCCAGTAGCACGCGAGAGCTCCAAATGCACAGCTGGCAACAGCTATAGCCAGAGCGGCCCCCACAGGGACCACCACTGCATGTGTCGACACCGAGGCTGCCAGATCATCAGCCAGCACACTCTCAATCCCTTTTTGCGCGAGTTGCTCCTCCTTGTCCTTGTAAAGGCTCACGAGGGTATTTCCGTAATAATCTGTCAAGAACTTGTGGACCTCATCGTGGTCCCAGTCGATAGTGTCACTTTTTATGTTTTTGTAGCAAGAAGGGCAGAGCTGTTGTGGGGGCCAAATGGTTTTTGGGAACTGTGGGTCGCCTGTCTTCAGATTTGCCTCCTCCTTTCGGAGTCGTTCATTGACTTTGTTGTGAGCTTCCCATAACCAAATGACAAAATCACGTGATCTCTTCAAAGGGCCAGAAACACTGTGAGTGGGATGCGAAACACATGGTTAAAAACAAGTTTTTTTTACCTATAATAAATTTACAAACGATATTCTTTTACAATCCAAAGGGCGTTTTTATTTGTTCGACGATAGCGTATGTACATACTTCAAGCGGATACTCTATAATGGGGTGTTTTAACATTTTAAGGGGTGTCTTCCAAAATCATCACTTGAAGATGTTACATGTAAGGTATTTATCTACGGTAAGACTGCATAAAACTTACCTTGAACACATGCTATAAAAATGTTGACGGCACTCTTCGCAGATGAAAAAATTATGAATGAAATCGCATATTGTGGTAAATGCCACCTGGCTCTCTCCGTCGTCAACTCTAACAGAAAGCGAATGCAATAAAACCCACAGACCGCAACTGCAAAGGGATATAGATGAATCAATCATGACTGCTTTGATTGGATGATTTACATCAGTTTGCATTTTTTGTCGGAACTTTATTTTTCGATGCTATAACCTAACTAAGAATGTGTTCCCATCGATTCTGTCTTATGAGGAAAAGACGGGTTTGGGTTGGGAATGACATAGAACATTTTCACAGAAATGTCTTTATTTTTAATAGAAAACATGAGATGAGATGTTGCATCTCAAACACAATTATTGTTTTTGCAACTTACACTGAAAAGTTAAGCCAAACTTCAACAATGGTTTTCCTTGATATTGCTATAGTTTATTGGATTAGTAACAATAAACATTGAATAGACACACACCCATTTAAGAGAATAATTGAATATATCTTACCTAAAACCTCTGGTCTCATTCTTGCTCCCACGACAAAACATCTACAAACAAAGTTCATTGTCAGCAAGGAAAAATCATTAGCCCGTAATTATAAATTCAAAGGGGTGAAAAAGTTTATAAATTCAAAATAAAAGTAATAATAATGATAAATGACTCCACCATAAGACAAGAATCATTGTATAACAAGGATTTAAAAAATTTCTCTCGTGGGAGAATCAGTGTGCCAAAAGCCATTGCTCTGAGCACAGTTATCTTTGACTTAAACACTTTCGAGGATAAAAGATAAACACAATAATTAAGTGATCCAATTAACAACTGATGCCAAAATTCTAAATTAATGAGGGACCAATTTATTTTACTTATATTGAACAAGCATTTTGCTGTGTTGAAACATACCCAATATAGCATATAACAAGAGGATTCAACCTTTTCAGTTCTTTTATTTCTTTATCCATGTGGCAGCAGATATTTTGGTCATTACATGCACTTAACCCAAAATTAATTGATAAACAAGTTTCGATTGAATTAACTATTAGCACAAGGAGATGATATAGAATGGAAAGAGCTTAAGAACAAGCGTTCATACCCAGTATCCACGAGGAACCTCTTTCCCACAAATTTGATAATTCTTGAGTGCTTCCTTCTGACCACTTCCAATTTCCTTGGCGGAAAACTCATCAAAATCAACAAGTATTTCTGCAGTACCCTTCCGGCATCTAAGAAACAGTAACCGATCCCAGATAAGGATATTTGCAACCAATATAACAAAAGAATAAAGACAATGCAAAATATATGAAGACCTTTTAGATGGGTGATGGACCACCAAAAGTTGAAAAAATTTTACAAATGATGCTCGAGTCTCTGGTTTGATCATCTACATAAGATTAAATAGAGAGCTCATAAGTTAGGAAAAGAATGATAGACGTAAAGGCGGAGCAAAAATGAGTTGAATACTGATATTCACCTTGTGGTTTATAATGATGTCAAAAGCAGTGGATGTTGCCTCCTCAATATCATATATAGCTCGTGCAATCTTTCCCCAGAAAAACATCAAAGTATGTCAGAAAAGAAAATAATAATTAAACGTCAATTTATCAACTTATTTAAATATTAAAAACATGTTCTCGGAGGACCTCTCCAATATCTGATGCATTTTTCTGGAGGTGTTCGTTCTCGAATTTCTCATCATCCAAGCCATATGAACTGTAAAAAAATATAAAAAAATAAAAAAATCTAAAAGTTTCAAACAAATGAATCAAATATGATGTTAGGTCTGCAAACAGCCCAAGATTACGGACATGTAAAAGGAAATGCCAATTTCAACTGGAATTAGATAACAGGATGTGAGAGAAAATTAAACAATGCCGTTTTTATCTTCACTGGCTTCAACCTGCGCAGTCCATGATTCACTCATAACTTCTAAATTGTAATACCTGTTCAATTGTTGATTAATCCAGGTGAGCAAGCGATCGGCTGTACGTCCATCATCAATAGAGCGTATATCACCTTTTTCTTGCTTCGGGTCCCATTTTCCAGACACAAACTTAGTCGGTGGGCCCCATAAAAGCATCGGGTAGTGCCCCACGGAGAACTTATCACAAAGATTACTATTTATCTGTTCTGCCAAGTAAGTAAATTGGAGTGACAATCAAGAATATGTGTGCGTCTGTGTAAATATATATATATATATAGAAGCTGTTCAAACAACAGATGAGCAAATTACTAAACAAAAATCAAGTTATAACTTTTGGGACCAGAACTTTCTTTAACAGCAGATAAGGAATACTATAAACAAAAATTGACAAGGTTCATGGAAAAATCCTTTACATTTTTAGGATAAACGTATACAAGTCTTCACTTTGTCATGGTTAGGTCGAAATTCTAAGTAAATTGCATAAGTATCATTTCAAACACCAGATGGAAAAAGTGAAGATTCTATGAAGAGTCAGAGACATTACAATACAGATAAATAATGTCAAAGCCCATACAATTGTTTATCTTTATAACCACCTGAGATCTTCCTTTACAGTCCAAAAGTAGTTACTTCTAGCATTAATACCTGCAAGGCACAATCTACTCTGGTCATCAATATTGTCCCTGGATGGACAGCTTCTGCTCCATTAAAAATCTTTGCAACCTTTTCATATTGTGGCTGCCCAAAAAGTAAACTTTGGAATCAGAACCACCAGAGGGTGATATATCAAGATTTTTTGGAACACAACATACCTTGTAGTTTCTGCAAGCAGGACACCTGCAAAAAGAAATGATAGTAAACTCAATATTGTGGGTAAAGCACAAAATTAAGTTGCATGATTCCTCCAAAATGTCAATGGAAGCACCCCTTAGTCCTTATACAAATCACACATTGTACACCCCAAGCAGCAAATACATGAGTCTATTAAATTAAACAAATATACATAAACATATATGATAAAGTCAAACCACCTTTTTCCTTCTTCGTATTAGAAATTTCACAATTGTCAGAAATTCCCCAAATCAATAAAATGCAGCTTAGTGAGACATACACCTAGACACATAAACTTTCATTTATTATCCTCATAGCAGCTTTGTAACATTATACAAACTCAACAACTGTTGCATGTTGTGCTCAGTAAAATGAAGCAGCATCAAGCCAACAACAATTCCATATCAACAGAGTATTTATTGACAAATAAATGAACGAAGTTAACCCTTTCTCAACACATATACAGAACAAAGTTGCAAAATCTTTACAGGACTATAAATTTGTTTTTCTTCCTTTTCTTTTATTATATTTTTCAATTTTCTTTTTGCAAGCTTCATGGACTCCCTGCAGGCTTATTATTCAATACCCCTGTCATTTCGAATTACAAGAGCAAAAGGGAAAAATATTAACAAAGAAGAAAAACCAAACAAATACGGGACGAACAGTAACCAAAAGGAAAATACTTCCGGAGAAATGCAACATATTGGTAATTTGATTTTAGATAAGCGCAGTTCATAAAAACGAAATATCAGAGCCGGGCATATTCTGCAAGTCCTAGATATTAAGATCAGATGCTCTTGTATAACCACCAGAGCAGCCACGTTTTTCAGCTTTATGCCTTCTTGCTCACTTGTTAAAAACTGATTTCAAAGTTATCCACTCTATACAGTAAAAAAGAAAAGCCTATATTTTTTTTTCTTTTTAACTGACATCCTTTTTTGGGTGTTTCCATTATTCTGAAGTTTCAGCATACTAAAACAAACCCAGAAATCCTCTCCCTGTCTAGAAGCAATACTCCAAACATTTCAAAGTCGATTATATTCATCACATTCCAATCAGAAACCTAAACATTTCAATACAAATAAACAACAATACAGCTAATCAATCATGAACAGCAACATCATACTGAAAGAACCACCAAGCAAACACAAAAGCAAGACAAGATCTATCGACTCAGAGAGAGATGAACTGACCAGTGCGCAAAGAACTCAACAATGGTGTAAGTAGCAGGGGTGTCCTTCAACACAGAATCGAAGTTGGTAGCGTTTAATTCCACCGCATAATCGGGTTTCTCGGCCTTATCGTCGATCGACCGTAGAATCGAACGAGATCCAGTGACCAGCGAAGACGATTCTTCATTGCCGTAGAAAAACAGCGTGAGGATTAACAAAGTGACGATCATTACAGGGGACATGGGATCTGGGCCGGGGCACATAGATACAAAAATGTGTGTGAATCTGTAAATCTTGGCAGAGGTTTTGCGTGCGGTAGTGATGTCGTTTTATTTGTTGGCGGTCGCCGTATCGCGATGGCGAGGTGAAAGTTTGGGAGTTGCAGAGAGAATGGTCCGTAGCCTAGTACAAAGCACAACTGCCAACACTTGGGCGCGTGTTGTTCTGGGTTGTACATTGTTCTTCCATGATTGTGCGTTCAAGATAATAAATAAATTAGAATTGGTATTTTTCCAATGGTTAGGCACGCTATGGTTTGAATATATGAGTATATGACATGATTGGTATGCGAGAATGACCTGACACTGTAATGATCATTCTCTTAATTATTTCTATTATTCATTCCTAGGGATAATTAGTATATTTATATTTATTTATATCTATATAAAAAGGTTGTTGTTTAAATCTTTTACCAAATAAATAATACATTTGACATACTCCATCCTATTTTTTTAATTAGAGTTTTGTTTGGGTGTTCGAGACTTAGTATATAAATAAATCATGCATTTGAATTTTATTTGGCTTTTCGTGAATATCTATTATTTTATAAAGAGACAATCCAAAAATTTTAAAATAGTAACTAATAAAAATTAGCTCGCTAATTATTTACTAAACAACAAACATAGTAGTTTTTTTTTTTAGAAATTTTTAAAATATCCCATCTAAATGTGTTTTTGAAAATAAAAAACAAATTAACAATTAAAAAACAAATTGCATACATATTTTTTTGATACATTTCATTTTATCTTAACTTCCATATGATCTACCACAGTATCTACTTACAAGCAACAAATAATTTTAATATATTTATTATTGTCATAAAATCGTATTTATATGATTTTATTTTTAATTATTATGAGGCCGGATAAATTCTGAAAGTTGAATAGCATGGTTACATGTCAGAATATTTATTTAAAATTTATTTATATATTTATAAATTAATTATATTAATAAATTATATTAATTTAATTTAATACCTAATCATTATATATAAAAAATAATACTATTATAAGTGCTATAACGAATAATAATGAAACTATATTAAATCAAATTTCAGAATAAAATAATATTTAAGTATTAGGATGAATAATAATAAGTAAAATTATAATTTTTGTATAAAAAAAACAAATATATATTTTAAAATATTATTTATATTAATATAAACGGGTCAAGCTAATACATTGTTAAAATAAAGCTTTAAAAAATACTTTAAGGCACAAACTCGATGCTTACTAGTTTTTTAGAAGAGAATGACTATTCTATTAGAAATTGCAAAATCCATCTATATAGGAATAATCATTCCATAGCTAATAATAACAAATAATAATAACAAATAAATATATAATATATTATCACTCTCATATGTTTGGGAATCGATGTTTCAAAAAATAAAATTAACAAATAATAATAACAAATAAATATATATTATATTATCATGATTAAATTATATTAAATAAAGTTATTTTAAAAATTAAATTTCAAATAAAAAATTTAAAAAATATTTTCATTTACTCATTATATTTTAATTAGATATTTTAAATACTTATTTAAAACAAAACTCACAAAATAATAAATAGTTTAGAAAAATTTCATTTTATTTTATATAATCATATATATTATATATTATCCATAAATTTGATTATATTATAAAAAATATATTTGACCAACAAAAACATGTTTATTAAACTATAGTATATTCTTAAAATATAAATTAATATTAGTACTATCATAAAAAAAATTAACATTAATATAAATATTAATTTTTTTCTATAAAATAGTGATAAATGATAATATAGGATGATAGTGGCATTTCATTCCGGTCTTATTCCTTCTGCATATCAAGCGCCTCAGTGATAAAACTTGTTTCATTCCTTTTCTATAATCATTTCATTCTTCAACTCATTCAATTCCTATAAAATTTCATTCCATTATACCAATCATGCCAATAGTTTTGTAAGTTTGGAGACGAAAAAAAAAAAAACAGATTAATTAAGTTCTTACAAAATTTTATAAATTATTATTTTTGAAAAATAGTAACAAATATGACTAGTACGACACCCGTGTACTACACGGGTGAATGGAAAAATAATTTGAACAAAAAATATAAAAGAGTTGAGAATTGTAGTTGATATAGGATATAGTACGGGCCTGAACCCCTCAAGGAAACTGCGCAACCAGGCCGGGTTAACGAAGAAACTCGACTCACATCGATTAGGAAGTAATAGCCGCACCAGCAGTGGCCCACTAAAGATGGGATATAACTAACAAGATAAGGACGACATTCGACTTGGACTTGAAAAACCAAGAGGTCAAATCGACAACGATCTATTCAACTGACAGAAGAGCTGAAGTGTGTCATGTTCTACCAGAACGTGAGTCATGTCCTACCTATCACTAGGGGATAGAGCCGAGCTGAGTGACACGCCACGGGTCCGATCAGTCAATCTTCCGCAAGTCGAGCTAATTCTCTTCGTTGGGGTTTTAGCCTTAAATCTGCTCTTACCAACTCGAATGCCAACATCTCCTTAATAGGGTCTTTTAGAGTTTAAGATATGTACTTAGAAGTTTTTAGGATGGAATAGTTGATGTACCCTTAGTAGGGTCTTTTAGAGTTTAATACAGGGACTTAGCCGATATTGGTGCGTCACGGTAGGTCCCTCTCAGGATGATGGTGGTCTCATTCAGTTAGGGTTGTTTGACCGACTCTTGGTTCTTTGAACGTAATTTAAATTATAATATAATAAAGGTATATTTGGTAATTTCATTTATGAGACATACGAGGTAACCATTTTTTTTAGTCTCATACTTCTGTGGCCAACCTGCTCTAGTATAATCAAACAAAAATTCAGGGACCATAATATTACTGAAGGAAGTTTGACAGGGGCGAGAGACAAGAAAGTTAGAAGAAGAAGTTGAAGTTTGCAAATCAAAGGAAAACTTCAACATTTTTGTGGAAGTGTTACAACAATATATCGTCAGTCAGTTTGGATCTGTTGAGAAGAGGAGTACAGGGTTGATCTTATTTGTCAGGATTAATGTGGGGAGGAGATTGAAACTTTTGAATATGGTTTCTTTAATTGTACCAGGGCTCAAAATGGTTGGAGAACGGCACCATTGAACTGGGATGGCTTGCACGACAATCACCCTGACGTCAGATTGTGGTTGTGGTCTATATGTTTGTTGGACATGAAGCCTATTTCAGACGGCAGAATCCAATTGACCACATGTTTACTCTTGTGGCTTTCGAAGTCTAAAAACTTGTGGAAGTTTCAAAATACCTTCATTCCTGAAGCGGCAGTGATGAGTGTAACTTTAAAGGAGCGGATAGAATTTGCAGGGAGAAAGCGAGCAGATTGAAGGATAGATCAAGACTGGAATTGCTAGGTTCATGTTTGGTTCAGTGGTAATAAACTCCTTGGTTTTTCTAAAGGTGGCTCTCTTGCTTGTTTTCCGTTTTCAATTTATAGTTTGGCTGGTGTCCTATTTGCCCTGCTGCCTTTGGTCTTGGCTTTGTTCTTTGTATCTGAACTTTGTGGTTTAGTAGTTTTGGGAGTTGTTGGTTGAGTATAGGGCATGTATGATGTGTCCCTCTTGTAGTAGGGCTAGTAAGCCCTCCGGTCGTAAGACTTATATTTGTTTGAATGAGATTTCTTATATCATTTGAGAAAAAAAAAAAAACCTAGGTCTTTGTCATGTCTTGGGCTTAAGCCGTTATCTACTTCAAAAGAAACTTGTTTAAAACTACCTAAGTAGACCTTTTAATTTATAGGCTTAATCATTGACATTTTTTATGTGTATTATATTTTTTTATTATTTTTGTAATGATAAGATATTTAAAATAAAAGTATAATGAATCATTCATAAAAGAGTCATAAATAAAAACAATTAAAAATCAATTTAAGAAATTATAATCAACCATTCATGAACAATAAACTTGGGTCAGTTCGGTTGGAAAAATAGATTGAGCTTGATATAATCTTTTGGATTTTTTTCAAAGGCTAATCATCTAGGTAATTAACATATTAACTTGTATGGTTTAGAATTATAAATTATATCCTTAGGTTTGAAATTACTTTTCTACCCTTAATTTAAAATTAAAGTTTCACTTCATCCCTTTCATCCCTCTCTGTTAGGAAAAAACAAGTTCATCTCCAACCCCATTTTCGAGCTTAATTCCTAACAACTCAGCCCCAAATTAGTCCAACAAATTGAAAAAATTGGAGCTCAGAAAATGGAAATGGCGGATCTACGATTTATCAAGCTAAAAGCTCAGCGTTTGAAACCCGACCCATCGAGCAACTCATCGCCCTTCGTCCACCATCGGCTG